TTCAATGGGTAGATTTCACATGAATTGAGACACTGTAACAAACTGAAGACATCTTATCATGTTGCCCTCCCGAAGTTGAATCTTCCTGCCGACATTATCAGTTAATGAGGACTTGGCTTTATTCAGCTCAAGTTGGCCCTTTTTTCTGTGTACTCCATTGTGTACAAGTTGTGAGAACATACCGTTCGAGGTCAATCAAACATATACTGAAATAAAACTTTAAAACATGATAATATTAAGTTTGTCTTTCTACATCAACCAGGAACACAATATACGGTATTTATTTTACCAACCAAGGATGTTATAAATATTCATACAAACCATTTAAATAAAATAGCATCACAATGCCAGAAAAAAAATAAAAATTCAGGCATGTTTAACAAATATAAAAAAGGTGCTTCGGAAAAATAAATTGTGTGTGTGTGTGTGTGTGTGTGTGTGTGTGTGTGTGTGTGTGTGTGTGTGTGTGTGTTTGTTACCTGGGATGCATTGAGTGCATGCATTACCTGACAGAAATGTGCCACCAGTTCTGAATTGCGCCAGTGACTCAACCAAATAATCAGCAGTCTCAACAGAAACTACACAAACTCTAACCTCCTGGAGGTGTTATTATAAGACTGGTTGTCCCAAACATCAACAACAAAAGAAAAGAATCCATCCATCCATCCATTTTCTGAACCGCTTCATCCTCAGAAGGGTCATGGGGGTTACTGAAGCCTATCCCAGCCGTCTTCGGGCAGTAGACGGGGGACACCCTGAACCGGTTGCCAGCCTGAACCACGGCCTCATGAGTTGGCACAACAAAATCGAAACTAACATTGCCATTGTCTTGACATACACAAATTTCATTATGGGATGCCTTGACATGTTCAGTGTCACTATGACAAAATGTTTGGACGGATCCATTGATCTTTGTATACTCTGAACACACAGCACTGTAAAACACTTTGGCTCGTTTCTTGTAATGAGCAAAACTTTGTGGAAGTGATCATGTTGTCTGTTTGTTCACGAGAATTTAACTCACTCATGTTTTTCAAATATTATGGCTCAGAATAGTCACAAAATACTGTCACTGAATCGTTAAGATGGCAACACTGACTGCTTTTTGTACAGTGAACGAGCTCCTCTTGATCTGTGGCCTTGTCAATGTAAGAAGTGTACGTCGGCTGAGAAGTGCTTTGAACTACAGAATCTGCCCCCAAAATCAATTAAAATAAATAAAGGAAATCAAATGAAGTGATTTACGTGATGACGCTCACAGCTTTCCTGTAAATTTGCTCCAGTCTATCTACCACCCGGTGTTGCGGATGCTTCTATTTGCATACCATGGAAAAATCAAGACAACTTACGATTAATTTTCTTCCTTAGGCCTAGATTAAATTAAATGTTAATCATCTAGTGGTTTCTTGCCTACCCATTGTGGTTTGCATTCTTTTTTTTTTTTTTTGGTCAACTAAACCCAATAAACAAAATTAGCAAACACAGCCTCTTTATGAAGCTGACTCGCTGTAGGAAATATGCCTTGGGAGTTTCCTTTGTGTTCTATCAAAATGAAACATTTTCGTTTACTGGTGATGGTGGTGGTGGTGGTGATCATTTTATTTTACTGGTGTTGAACGTTTCTGCCTATTTTCTATCAAGGTATGGACTAAACCAGTAACCAGTTAAAAAATAATTTGTTTGTGCTTTTTCTGCACCGTCAATCTGTCAACCTGTCCTGTTTTTGAATGAGAGGATGGAAATTAAAACGTGTTTTTTTTTCTAATCCGATTCATTGATTAATCGACAGATTAAACGATTAATGAAATAATTGTTAGTTGCAGCTATAATGAATTATAACACATTGTAATATTATATTAATCCAGTCAATAAAATGAAGTCAAATATAAAATGCCTCATAAATACGATGAATAGTCTAAAATGCAAACCATATGAACAACATGACTAAATGACCATTCAAAAAAAACATAATTTACTAATCTGTAGTTAGAATACATCCATCAATTTCCTATATGCTGTATGAGGATCTGGAGCCTATCCTTGCTGACTTCAGGTGGAGGGTGCTCAATGCTCTGGATTGGTCACCAGTCAATCAATCAGAGGGCACTTTTTGAGACAGCCAACTGTTCACTGTCACTTGGTGTCACTGGGTGGGTACCGAAGCCCCTCTGCCAAGCACAGAAGTCAGGAGAGTGAACCACAACACAACAGCAGCGGTGTAATAGTCCAAAAAATAAAATGTCACTATTTTATGTAAAAGACCTTCACAGTCAAATTTACATACAAACTCTGTCTTTGCAGTGTAATGCGCGAACGTTATAGGTTGTTGCAATTTACACGAATACTGTCTCTTACCCTTCTGTTTGAGGTCACATGTCTACTGTGGCTTGAGATGGATGGGGTGAGGCAAGGAGTCACGTCCTGATCCCCATTTGTCCCACTTTTCTGACAATGAAGCATATTCTTGTTGCAAGCACACAGGGCTGGGAGGAGAGGTCACAATAAAGGGTCTATTCTTCTGCTGGACAGATGCATCAGATCATAGGGTGATGGATGAAGACAGATGGCGATCGAGCCAGACAGGGCAGTAATAGTCCAAAATAAACAGCATTGGTAATCATCACTTTCAATATTTTCAGTTTCTGTAATGACACTTCTCGAATAATTGTGTATCATCTGTCCTAAAGTAGCATATAATGGCTGAACAAAAGTGGACCAAGAACTGACCCTTGATGGACCCCAAATATCATAGCCATTCGATCAGATCCAAAACTTGCAATGGCCATGAAATAACTCCTTCCCTCCAAATAAAACCTGAATCACTCAAGGACTGTTTCATTGAGTCCAACCAAAGATTCCAAACTATTCAACAGTATATTATGATCGACAGTGGACTCTTCTATTTGTAGGGATAGGGACCATGCTGGCCCACGAATTGCGAAAATCCACATATAACTGACACCCATTTAGATGCATCTTTTGTTTTAAACCCAGAAAAATTCTTCCAAAAACATTGAGAAACCACAAGTATCTATTTTCCATGCAATATGGGGATTGGCGCCCCACAAAAACATTCTACAATGATATTCTGCAGTAATGTTTCACGAAGAAGACATTTAAATTATGCCATTCTATCTAGGATGTTTTCATTGATTGTTTGTGAATATTTATGTCAAGAAACATCTCCTATTACTCCATAATGACAGAGATCACATTTTAAGCTGCAGCAAGTACTGGTCTACCACTACCAACTACTACAGCAATTAGAATGAAAAACCTAATCTCTTTTTTGATGGAAGATTATTTGTGCCACATATATATGGGTGATATATCTAAATCTGTAATTTGTAGACAGTCACACAGACAGTCAGAGAAATACAGCTGTTAGCGCCGTGAATTGAAAATAAATGCAGGTGTGGTCTTTTACACGATTGCTAATGTCCTGTCACTACAGTATGAAGACTTTGTCTTCCTTTGACATCGACACTAATTCACCATTGAGGATTTTATCACTTTCTCCTTCATTTGCAGCCAATCAATTGATGTGAACGTGAATTTATACACACATTCATAAAACACACACACACACATATATATATATACATTTGCAGCCAATCAATTGATGTGAACGGGGCTGTTTTAGAGACAGTAATAAAATTTATACACACATTCATAAAACAC